CCCCAGCAGCAGCCTGGTTCCTGGAGCTTCGGTCCTGAGGTGGCTGTTCCGGCTTTTGATCCAGGAGGATGTGTGATTGTGAATGGCAGCCACAATCTGAATGCCACTGATTCTACAAATGAAGGATCAGGCCCAGAGAAGTGAGGGAACTTTCTCAAGAGTGAGTGGAGGATTTAGGACTCAAATGCAAATCTTTCTACCATACCAGGGAGTCAGTAGTCCTGAATGTACTTGTCCCATGAAAACAAGCCTGTGCTATTTGGAGTCAGCTCAAAGAACTTCACCTTTGACCACTGATATCTGATACAAATTGTTCAGTTCCTACATGGTGGGCACTATACTAAGCCCTCACGTACATTAATGTCATTTTATCCTCACAACAAGCCTAAGAAGCAGGTACCGCTCTTCACAACCATTTTATAAAAAAGGAAACCGAGGCTCAGAGAGGTTAAGTAACTTCCCCAGAGGCCCACAGCTGAAAAATGGTGAAGCTGGGCTTTGAGATTCAGGCTGTCCTACCCCTGACACATTTAAACCACGTGTAGGTGATTTATTAGTGCTTGGGTTCACATACAGGGGGGTGTATCTGGAGGTTTAAAGGGACATGATGTCTGGAGAGATCAGCTGGCAATGACCCCAGTGGCAGAGACTTGAGCTACACATGAGCAAAATATGAGTGAAGGTGAACCTTGTAAAGGTGATTGATTCTACAAGCTATCTGTGTGCAATCAGCCAAGCCATTTAGCCCATTATTGATTAAGGGAATCTGCCTGGTACACTAGACTCAAAATACGTCTTTCTGCCTCTCTGATCTGCCTTTGAACTCTGCCAGACACTGAGCATGTGAAAAGATGCTCAACCTCACTACTAATAATAAAAAGGGTGAATTAAAACAACAGATGGGTTTCCCTCAATCCAATTAGCTGAGACTAAAAAGAACGACAATGCCTGGTGAAGAATGTCACGTCTACTAGGAAAAGAGCTTACACCCCCTTGGCGAGTTTAATTGGGTACAGCCTTCCTGGAAAACTAACTCCCAAAATATGTTCCACAATTTTAAATGTATCCACCTTTGGATGCAATGATTCCTATTCTGAAAATGTATCATAAGGATAAGTACGCAAAGATACATTCCAAGAACATTGCAGTATAGCTTATGATAGCAACCAAAAGAGAAAAATAAACAATCTACAATTCCATCAACAGGAGGCTAGTTAACAAAAGTCCTGTTCAGTCATAAAATGAAACATCATCATAAAATGAAACGTCTTTAAAGAGGACGGTGTAAGGGCAGGTGCGGTGGCACATGCCTGTAGTCCCCCCTACTTGGGAGGCAGGAGGATTGCTTGAGTCCAGGAGTTTGAGACCAGCCTGAGCAACATAGCAAGACCCCTTCTCTACAAAAATTTAAAAAATAGCTAGGCCTGGTGGCACATGCCTGTGGTCCCAGCTATTTGGGAGGTTGAGGTGGGAGGATCACCTGAGCTGGGAAGTTGAGGCTGCGGTGATTTCACCACTGCACTCCAGCCTCAGCATGGTCAACAGAGCAAGACTCTGTCAATAAAAAAAAAACCGATAATGTTGATTTCTATGTCTTTCCAGGAAAAGATTTTATAAAGAGGGAAATGCCATTTATAAAACAGTATACATAATATAAACCAATTCATGTATATAAGTACAATTATGTACATGGATTGCGTTATATATATGTTTTACATATATATGTATGTAAGTATTTATGAAGCAGAAAATCCTATAGGATGTATACTTCTCACAATTACTATTCTTGTGGGTTGGAGGTGGGAGGGGCAGGTGGATTTCACTTGCTGCTTTTTTCGCATTTTTATAGCAATCATGAATTAACAGAAAATATATTTCTATTGGGGAGCAGGGATAAGGGGAATCCCAAGAGTCACCTCACTCCCACTGGGTATCTAAGGCATCTCCCAAGGTCAATGTTGCATGGTTTTAACACTAATTCCACATAGACAGTGAATTCTGCGTCTCGCTCACATTATGGCAAGTCCTGTTTGATGGCAACACTGACTCTACCCATCCCTGCTCAGACCTTCCCAGTCAGCGTTTAGTGTATTACATGGTAGTGGACCAACGTTATGTCTTCCTCCTGGGCCAGCCAGTGGACATCTTAAGGGCTGAGAGAGCTTCTTATTCATGCTTACACCCTCATGTCCATCACGGGACTTCATGTAGAGGCAGTGCGCATTTCATCCATTGAGCAAATATTTCATAAGCACCTACAATGAGCCAGCCCTGTGCTGGAGAGCTATGGGTAAACAGAACAGACCCAGGTTTGCATACTGAAGGTTGCGGTCCTGCTGGAATTTATTGAATAACTAAATGACACACAAGTAAGTGAGCAGTGAAATGAACAGACTCACAGGACTGGGGGAACTAACCTAGTGACCTGTAAGCCCACACACAAGAACATTGGCCTGGAGCAAACAGACCAACCCTGTCCCAGGGAAGTGGTTTTCACTTTTTTTTTTATTTGGCAGTGGAATCTCTTCTCAAAAAACAAAAGAGTAACAGTGATATTATTATGATCTGATTTTATAAGTTTAATTTAAAGCATTTACAGCTCATATGATCAAGATAATTTTGGTTGACAAAAAACATATGGGATGCTTGAGTGGAGGTAGTATTTTTACTAGCTGTTTAATACTTGAAAGATATAATAAAAATTAAATTCAAATAAAATTTTTGCAGAACCTTGGTTAAAAAAAAACACTGTTCTGGAAGTAAGAATGTTGCTTTTGTTGTTTTGTTTTCAGTAATAAAGAGAATGAATAATTCAAATTTTAAACTCTCAAGTATTATTCATTTGTTCATTCAACCAGTAGTTACTAAGCACATTCAATGGGTCAGGAGCTCTTATAGTGAATTCAGTATCAATATCATCAAAGATCACAAGGAACCAGGAGATTAAGGGAGGGTGGTGAGGGGTCGGGGAACAGCCGTACAGATAGGTAGGTAGGTAGGTAGGTAGGTGGATGGATGGATGGATGGACAGATTGGTGATTGGATAGATGATGTGATCAGCTGAATCACAGCTCATCACACTAAGATGTCCTCATCCTAATCCTCAGAATTTGTGAACATATGTTATCAGGCAAAAGGGACTCTGCAGATGTGATTAAGCTACGATCTTGAGACTGGGAGATGATCCTGGATTACCCAGTGTGCCCAATGTAATCACAGAATCCTGATAAATGAAAGAGGGAGGCAGGAGAGTGAGAGAAGGAGGCATGTTGATGACAGCGGAGGGCCGAGTCAGAGAGGGATGTGAAGGTGTGAAGGTGTTACAGAGCTGGCTTGAAGATGGGAGAGGACCATCAGCCAAGGAATGTGGGCACCGGCAGAAGGTGGAAACGGCAAGGAAACCGGTTCCTTGAGCCTCCAGACAGAACAGAGCTCTACAGAGCCCTCGATTCAGGACTTCCACCATTCAAAACTGTCAGATAACAAATTTGTGTTGTTTTAAGCTACTAAGCTTATGTGATTTGTTATAGTAACAATAGAAAACCAATATAGGTTAGAGAGAGAGAGAGAGAGAGAGAGATGATAGATAAGCTTATATAATTTGTTATAGCAGCAATAGGAAACATATAGATACGTAGATTAGATATAGATTAGATAGATGATAGATAGATACACAAACTTGTCTTTGGCTTATTAAGATTGATTCTCATTAAAATCATATCCTGAGTAATTCTGAGTAATTTTTGCCTGGGATGGGGCAGAGCCCCACACACGGAAACTCAGGAACATGATGTATGAATGAAATGTTCTCACCATGCTCCCCCTCCCTTTCCTGAGCCTAGAAGTTGTCCCCTCAAGAGAAATCTAGGACTCAGTCGTCCTACAATCAGGGTCACCTCCTCCCTGAATCTGCTCTCTGAGTACAGACCCTGTCTAGTCTTCAGGTCCTTGGGTGGCAAATGAATGGGGCAATGGGGATCTCCTGCTGCAGGGGTGTTCCAAGCTAGAACACTTTTGGAGGGCAATCTGGCTTAAGATTCTAACGTTCCTTTTAAACTTGCAACTACAAGTCTGGGACATGAATTTTACCCATGCACGTCCCCAGTGATGTTCACTGCTGTGTTTCTTAGAATTATTAAAAATTGGAACCAACCTAAATGTCCATTAGCCAGGGACTGATTCAAATGAACCAAAGATATCCACAAAGTTGGATCCCGGCAGGCCATGAAAGTGAATGAATTTGATCTTTATGTTACTGACATGTAAAGCTGTCCTTAACATGAATTAAGGGGTTGGGGGAAAAAACCTTACAAGCACATGTATAGCATGATCCTATTTGTGTAAAACGATACAAATGCAGGTTTATATGTCAAAAAGTTCTCCCAAGGTATACGTCAAAACTTTAACAGTAATAAGTTTTCAAGAATAAGCATGTGTATTCCTGTACTGTTTGACTTTCTATAATAATCAAATTGTAATGCGATGTAATCATAGTGGGGGAAATGACATTTGAAAATTCTGTCTGGCTGTCAGTGGCAGGCTGAGCAGGAATAAGGGGTCACCAGTTCTCAGCAAGGTGACCACACGGCCACACTGACCCAGAATCTTGACCCAGAGACTCCTGAATCTTTAGCCCCTGGGTCCCCTAGTACTCTCTACATCCAGAGGAAGAGGAAATGGAACATACTGGCATCACCGTCACTCGTGGTCTCTAAGAATCTAAAAGTCAATGACCCCTGCAGGAGGCCGGCAGCATGAGCCCAGGCAATGCTGTGTCCCAGGAAGGGCCTGGGTGTGGAGTCCCGTGGACCAGGGCTAGAAGCTGTCACCACTTGACAGCCCGGTGACCTTGGGCCAGTCCCTGGACTCTCCAAGCCTCTGTTTCCTCATCTGTACGACGGAGGGAGATTCTTGCTCACAGGGATGTTGTGAAGACGGATGGCACATGCCCCTGGCGCACAGTAGGGCCAACCTCCCTCCCGCTCCCCTGACTCCTGTACCTGCAGCCCAGGTCGGCCCAGCGCTGGGCGCAGCGCCTGGCAATGCGAGCCCGCGGGATCCGAGGACACGGTGAGGCTAGGGACGCTGGGGCCAGCCTCTCCATCTGGGCAGCCGGGAGGATGGCAGGCTCGGCCATGGGCTGGCACCTCGAAGATCCCGGGCCGTCAAGGTGCCGCAGCGGTGGGGCTGACTCCTTGGCAATGTGAGAGGGAGGAGGGAGGCAGGGTCCCCGTGGCACACCCAGTTCCCAGACACCCTCAAGCAGGACGAATGTCCAGCCTTCTCCTGGGGCGGGGCTGGCTTGGCCGGGGCCACCTACAGGCAGGAACGCGCGCACACAAGCACCCCTGAGTGCCGCCCACCGACACTGGAACTGCCAAGTGGAAACGGCGCTGTTCAAAAACTGTCATGAAATATGATTTGCATGACCACCATTATTACCTACAGCCCTCCCGATTTCAGGGTAAAACCACTTGAATAAAGCACCTGGCTGACATGGGTGGAAGAAAGTGCTCAAACCCAGGGGTTTTTATCTGGCTGGACCAATCCCTCTGAGGCTTCCCTGAGCCCTGGTTTCCTCCTCTGTGAAATGGGGATGGTGACATTTGCCAGGAGACGGGAACCTAGCAAGCAGGAAGATGTCAGGGTGTAAAAAGAGAGGGACCTGGGTACTGGCTGAGAGGGTAGGAAGGGAGAAGGAAACGGGAGTGGGGAAGTGAGGGGTGTCCAGAGACCCTGCCGGGGTTGGCCTTTTGGCTGGGATGTAAAGGAGGAGGAACCAGCTGGGAAAAGGCTGGAGGAGGGGGAAAGCTGGGGAATTTAAACCCCTCGTCTGTAAAATGAGAACTC